TATACCAATAATTTCCCAAAAAAATCTGCGAAATTAATAGTTTCTCAGAAATCCTTATCCTCCTCTTCCTCCTCCTCCTCTTCCTCCTCCTCTTCCTCCTCCTGCTCCCCTTTCTCTTCCTCCTCCTCCTCATCATCCGTCTCTTGCTACTTCTCCTCGTCCTTCTCCTCCTCCTCCTCTTACTCCTTCTCCTCATCTTCCTTTTTCTCTTCCTTTTCAGCAATGTTTCTAAAACTTTTTAAAAAAAAATTTTGTTCTAAAAATTTTCAAAAATTCATCCCAACAAAAATAAAAATGTTCAAAAACAACTTGCTCAAATATTTAAAATTTTTTTTTTTAATAATTTAAAATAAAATTTAAAAAACTTCTAAAAATTTAAAAAATTTCTAAAAATTTATGCAAAAAAATTTTTTTGGGATACATTTTCAAAAAAAAGTTTTCAAAAAATTTTAAGTAAAAAAATGTTTAGAATAAATGTTTCTAAATAAATGTTTGTGATAGAATTAAAAAAAATTATAAAAATAAACTCTGACAGATTTATTTTTTATTTAAAAAACATTGAAAACACAGTTCATTTTTACAGACATGTACAGAATATAAAACTGCTGTTAATACAATAGCGTAGATGATGGGGGTGAACTGGTTTCATTTAAAGGCACAAAGGCTGAGAGAATTATAAGTGTCGAGTTACAGCTCCATTTTAATTTATTTTATTTTATACCACCACCAGATTGTAGATTTGACTCACCCAGAAACAGCAGCTGATTTTAAATTCATTCTTGAACCAATCAGACAGTCTGTGAAAAAAGTACATATTTTAGACCATGAACATTTTCAGGAACATTTAATTCTTCTGTAGACATTTACATAAGATCGGAAAAGATTAGTTTGTACAACTGTTTTCTAGCAGGAAAAAAAAAAAATCAAACATTTTTCAAGTGTCATTTCTTTTCAACATAAAAAAAAAACCAAAAAACTAAGGCCATGTTTTAAAGATGGTCCATTTGTACAAGTAACAGCTTTATACAAATAAAGATACTTTGAAACAAATACTGTATGTACTACAGCACAGCACGCAGCTTAAGCATCAAGATGATATTAACAATAAGTTAACATACTGCCTCCAGAGGAGAGAAGGACAACAAATAATAAAATACTTTTACAAAAATAATTTAGAGACCAACTGTTTTTGGTCATTTGTTTTGAAAAAACTCAATAAAAGATCATTTGTTTAGGGAGAAAATATTTTAAAATATCTATATTTTTAACATAATAGGGAGAAAAAAAGTAAAGGATAAAAAAAAGAACGAATGCCTCTTAAAGCTGTAAGCACTGATTAAAAATACATCTAAACATCTAAAAATCATCTCTATTGATAGAAATAGCAGAACGGAGGCCAAACAACTCTATTAACATAAAAAGCAACAATTGTATAAGATTGGAGCTCGACAGACGAAGCTGCCAAGTACAAGTTTCCATTGAAACTAAAAACAGGACCTTTGTGGTAAAAAAAACAAACTTTCTTTCACAAAGGAGTTAGTAGTGATAATAAAAAGAACTTTGTTGAGTAACAGGCCACGGCGTACACAACCGAACCACGGCTGAGTCAAGTCCTTCATTTTGTCTTTGACTCAGATCCATTTTTTTCTTCCTGACAGTAAAATCTACTCGTCGTATCTGAAAACATGTGAAGCACGTAAACAGAGTGGTAACAGGATGAGGGTTTAGACCGACGTCTGTAGAAGAAGTCAAGACCGTGATCTCAATGTGTTAGAGGTTAAAGGAACACGTTACTGGACAGAGCAAGAAATTTAGAATTTTCATTAACCTGATCTATTATCTGCAGGACCGTGAACCGCCACAAGTACATATGGACCATGTGACCATGTCAGGATGGAAACCAGCAGCAGGTACAGCCACTACACAGACACCAGCTTTTTTTTTTCTTATGTGATAAAACTGAGCCAAAGTTTTTATAGAACTGTTAAGTTCTGCAGTGGTGCATTCACTGTCCTAGGAAAAAGGTGAACGCTGCCATTTGCCTTACACAAAGCTAAGTCCTTGACTGTTGTTTTAATGCCAATGATTTGCAGTAAATGATGCATGTCATTAATCCTACTACTGTTAACGAAGTCTAAGCAGCTAGCTCAAGGACGTGTGCTAACATCTGAAAAGTTAAGGATAGATGTTCAAATTGACACTTTTTTTTAGGGTGGGTTCCTTAAGCTGAGGACACACTACACAGCTTTCAGTCTTTGGAGATTTTGAAAAGACCTGAAGTAAACACAAACTGATTTCAACAGATTTCTGTAAATCCCTTGAAGACTGGGGAGCAAACATATGACAACTGCATCTGATTGGCTCATTTGTCAGAACAACTACAGCCAACTGAACGCTACTCCGACAGGAGAGCGACAGTTTAAGCAACCGTACCAGTTGGGTCGGTAAACAATCAGATTTGTTGTGCAGACTTTAACCAGTTAAGAAACAGGAATGAAAATCTCTCGTCTCGCAGCGTGTCCTCAGCTTTGGAGAGTGGAGCCCTGGTTCCGCCCACTGGTCTTTAGACAGACCTCCGATTATGAGGAATCACACCGTTTGCCTACTAGTGTGATTAGCATAGCATTTTCTCCCTTTCTATGCATAAACAGATTTCACTGGCCACACCCCTTGTTTAGGTATTTACACTATGTGATGCAGTAGCAGGACCTGTACAGGTCGGAGGTCCAGCTCATCAAACCGAGAGAGACGTCGCTGATATCAAATGTAACATTGTTTGAGTCGGTAGTGCTCAGTTTAATCTGACGGCCAGGCCGCAGCTCCTCGCCAGCTCCACAATAATGGAGAAGAGGAAAGTGGTGACAATGATGTGTATCTCGGTATTCTGTTAATGGGGTTCATTACGAAGCCTGTGTGCGCGTGTGTGTGTGTGCGTTAGAGACATGTTAATGCGTTGAGACGGCCAAGGCCAACTACAGAAAATATAGGATTAGAATCAGACACCAGGGCCGGACAGCGGCTCCGTCACAGTGTCGTCAACATCAAGTTACTCAGCCTCCAAAAGTCAGAGGTAAGATGTGTCAGTTTTGTTTCTGTTTTTTTTTCTTCTCCCCTCTCCTCCCTCTAGACCCAGGCTGTGTTCCAGACAGACTACACCGCAGCAGGAGTGTAGCTGCTCAGCAACACGTCCCAGGTCTGGGTCAGTCTCTATCAAGGCCTGCTGCCTGACTCTGCATCGCTGTCATCAGCAGCGCCGACATAAATTGGACTCTTCCTCTGCAGCGCTGGCTCATATTTACGCGGTGACGACCTGTTGGAACCCTCGCTACTGTTCCTGATGCCGTAGCCGAAGTAGATGGCGAAACCTACAAGTAGGAGGAGGAGGAAGAGAGGAAGTCAGGCAACAAGAAGATACAATAAAAAACCTTGGTGGTGAAAGTATGTAAAAAAACAAGCAGGAATAGTGTTGACGGAACTGACCAATTGCCATCCAAACTGCAAACCGACACCACGTGCCAATGTCCAGCTGCATCATGAGGTAGAGGTTGACAAAAACACTGAACAGAGGCAACCAGGGAAGAAGAGGAACCTGGAAGAGACGAAGTCAGAGTCAGAACTGGGACCCGCTGCTGACAGGTACGCTACATTTTCCGAGGTGGGAGGTCAGGACAGTCACCTTGAAGGTAAGAGCCTCCTTGCTCTCGGGCTGCCTCCAGATGATAACCACGCAGACGACACACAGCACAGCCAGGAGGATACACGGCACCATAACTCCTGCGTGTCCTTCCAGCAGCTGGGGCAGGTAGTTGGCCAGGACAACGCAGAGGATGGTGATGAAAACGGCTGCAGAGCAGGAGGGAAAACAAGAGGAGAAAGGTTTCATTAAACGGTTGGAGCAGGACGCCGCTGCGACTCCAGCTTCTGCTGCGAGATCCTTACAGATGATGGCGGTGGTGCCGTAGACTATTAACCCGGACTTCTCCGTTGGGATATTCCTTCTCGGGAAGAAGAGCAGCTTGGCAGTGAAGGACTCCTGGAGAGGCGCGTCCTCAATCTCAACGCCGTACTCATCGCCGCTGTCTCCTCCAGTAACGGCCACTTTCTCACCTCCCACCAGCTCCACCAGTTTCTCCATCTGGCTGGAGGAGTTCTGTGTGGTCATGTCTGGCTGGTACCTGTCAAAGGAGGAGGTGAAGGAGGTGAGAGTCAGGGAAGAAGATCCTCAGGCTGCACTGGGAAAAGAGTGAGAGTCCTACCTGAGGATGAGGACACAGATGGCCACTAGAGAGTAGGCCAACAGAGTTCCAATGGACATGAGGTCGACCAGAGCTGCCAGGTCGAACAGGAAGGCCATGAAAGCTGTGAGGAGAGAGAAAACCACGTTTCAGTAAAACCGAATAATGATAATTAAAAAGAAGAAAACAACGTCTTAAAAGCAGAGACTGCTATTACCTGCAACTATTCCAGAAGCCACCGTCGCCAGAAGTGGTGTTTTTGTGCGAGTGTTCATCTTGGAGAGCGATCGAAAGAGCAGGCCGTCTTCTGCCATGGCGTAGATGACTCGAGGCATTGGAAACATGGAGCCCAGCAGACTGGTGGGGGAGTAGGGGGGAGGGATCCACAGTTAACACAATTATCTAAAACTGTAATTAAAATTAATTTATAGCCTCATTACTTCCTTCCTTACCTGGTGGACAGAGCACAGAGAGAACCTACGGCCACGATGTATCTGGCAGGAGCCCAGCCCACGTAGCTGAAGGCCTCCGGCAGAGGACTCTGGGTGTCCAGCATGTAGTAGGGCATCATCATAGTCAGAGCAGCGGATACGCCAAAGTAGGCGAAAAAGCAGATCAGCAGTGACGCCACGATGCCAATGGGAATGGATCGCATTGGGTTTTTTGCTTCTTCACCTACGAAGGACAAAAGAAAATTAGTTATTAAAAAAAATCCAAAAAGTTTGTTGTTACAGTTGTTATATATCAGAGGTTAATGTTTTTTTTCTTTTGTCACAATAATAAATGTATTTACACCAACTTTTATCTTTGGGATTTTTATAATAACATTTTACAGAGTAACCAGTTCTTACTTCACTGCTGCCTTTCTTTAAGCTTCAACGGAGCTAAGCTACTGAACAAAGTTTGGATGTAGGAAAATACATCATCTTTGGGAAGAGTGTCACTTACTTGTTGTTGCTATACAGTCAAAGCCCACAAATGCATAGAAGCAGGTGGCAGCACCAGACAAGACGCCAGTCAGACCGAAGGGAGTGAAACCACCGGTACCAAAGTTCTTCTCGACTCTGAGGAGACAAAAACATCCAGGTAAAAAAAAAAAATGACGGCGATCGATCGATCAAACTCACAAAGATATGAGCATGGGTTCAAATACTGACGAGTACGGCCTGCTGCTGTTGCTGCTGCTGTTGTTAACGTATGTGATAAAATCCTTTTCTGTCAAACTCCAATTCGCCGGGTCACCTTTCACAAAGCCCGATATTATAACGAAGCCCAGGACCACCAGGTTGATGCCTGTGAAAATCTTGTTCACCAACGCTGACTCATTCACACCAAAAGCAAGAAGCCCTGAGAGAGAGAGAGAGAGAGAGAGAAAAAGAAGAGATGTAGAAAGAGGGATAATAATTTAGCAGCAGCAGCAACATACCAACGCTGACTCATTCACACCAAAAGCAAGAAGCCCTGAGAGAGAGAGAGAGAGAGAGAGAAAAAGAAGAGATGTAGAAAGAGGGATCATAATTTAGCAGCAGCAGCAACATGTCACATGGTGTGGGTGGATGTTACAGTACAGCGCTTCATCACTCTTCACAAGCCATCAGTCACCAACATCAACCCAACACTGCCATGCCAACTGTGATGTCCAACAACACTCATGACTCATTTTATGTTAAAAAAAAAAAAAAACTTCAGGGAACGTGGTGTCAATCAAGAATAGGTTGTTTGGCCCACAATTTCTTTTTTCTAACCTGTCTAAAGGACTGGGTAATTACTTAAGTCTTAAATAAACAATGCTGCATAAACTGTATAAATGAAATTCAATATATATTTTAAATCAAATAACTGCAAAAAAAAGGATTTTGCAGCATTGGGTTTTTTGCTTCTTCACCTATGACAAAGAAATGACTGGTAAAAAAAAAAAAGATCACAAATAAACTGCAGGTAAGATTGTGTGGTTATGTTAAAAAACTTAAATGAGAACTTGTGGTTTCTCTGGGGATCGAACCCAGGACCCTCTGCATGTAAGAGAGGTTTTACCATCAGAGAAGACTTGACAGTGTTTCCATCAACAACCTGTCAACATGATTATATTTTCAACACAAGCCCTTAAGGCAACTTTTTTTGTACAAGCTGCAACAGAGCTAAAATACTGAGCATCGTTTGACGTTTTTTGCTCATGTCGGAAAAGCAACAGTAGCTGATGACGGTGGCTCACCTGTTAGCAGAAGGACCAGGATGAGGGCAAACAGATCAGGGTACTCAGCCAGGACTTTACCCGGAACCTTCATTGCCATGGAGGCTTTGAAAAACCCCGAGATCTTTTGTTCAACCAGATTATCAAAGGTGGAGCTCCACGCCCTGGCTACACTGGCCGTACCTTGTGAAGGGAGACAGATAAGAGCCGTTCAAACAGATCTGTAGTCAGATTCATGCAGGAAAACACATGTCAAACATGCAGAGAAACTCCAAAGTTCAGAAGGCTCACCTATCACATACGAGAGGATGAGGTTCCACCCTGTAATGAAGGCCCATATTTCACCAACTGTCACATAGCTGTACATGTACGCCGAGCCTGTTTTGGGAACTCGGGCTCCGAATTCTGCGTAGCACAGCCCGGCCAACATGGAGGACAGAGCGGCGATGAGGAAGCAGAGGACAATGGCAGGCCCCGCCTTTTCTCGGGCGACCTCACCGGCCAGGACGTAAACACCCGCTCCGAGTGTGGAACCTACCCCCAGGGCAATTAAGTCCAGGGTGGACAGGCAGCGAGCAAACTGGGTCTCTTCACCAGAAACATCCAAGGCCCGGCGTCGTAGCAGCGACTTTCCAAACTTCTTCAGCTTGCTGGCCATATTTGCTGTGACTGAGTGCGTGGGCACTGAGGCAAGCTGCGTGTTTTAAACCCTTCCAAGTGTGGGTGTGTGTGACTGACGTGGGTTTAAATAGCCAAGGGGCGAGCGGACAGAGAGTACGGGTAGGTTGGGCAGATGGTGTTAAGTAAACCAGGGAGGTGTTTGTTATTGCTGCTGGTGTTTTCTCTTGACTGAGGCAGACACGAGAGGAAGCGCCGGATCTGTGGTCACAGTGGAGGCAGATTAAAACCTATGAGGACACAAAGGGGCAAAAAGAAGGGGAGAGTTGTTAGGTAACAGCCGAAGGTTACATTTTTCCAGAGGCTCTGAGCAGCAGCAGAATTCTTCAATTCTGTTTCCAACCAAGGTTTTCCAGGAAAGGTGTTCAAGCTGTGAAACGCTACAAAATAACAAGCCTCAGAGGCTCCATGAGGTACCGTAGTATTATTCACCACCACCTGGGGTTTATATAAATAAATATATATATATATATATATATGCAGAGAACATAAGTGTTGTGACTATTTGTATAATCCTGCGTTACACAGAATTTTGCAGCAGATTTGAAGACGTTCCTAGTAAAGGTGGGTGGTGGGGGGGCTCAGGGTCATGGTGTGGAGATGACCCTGACATGGTTTTCTCTCACTATTCTAAAGTACATTTTTAAAGTAATAAAAGGTAGCAGTAATAATTGAAAAACAATATACATAATTAGGTGAACAATTTATAACCTCCAAAATTAGTATTTTAATTTAATTTGACTACTTTTTTTTGCACTACATTAGAGTTGTATTTGGGCCAAACATCTAAACTTTTTTGGCTCATTTACGTACTATCTTTGACCATTACGAGGATAACTGACAACTTTATTTGTAGTACTTTACTAATCCACTAATGGCATTTACTCTCAGCATTTAAGCCATCTGTCAGCTTTTGTCGCTTGCTGAACTACAATCTTGGCATGGGATTTGAACCTGAACCCAAAAGCTTAATTCTTAAACCACTAGACCACAGGTTCTATTTTTTTTAATATATATATTTTTTTAATTCTAATTTTAGGGTATTTATTCCCATGATGTTTGTTAGTATTTATTTAGCCGACACTTGCCTGAAACCGTGCCTTCACTTATTACTTAATTATTAGCTTTTATAAAGGCAGCTGTGAAATACTTAAGGTGGAGTAATAATTTTGTTCTCTCAAATGCAGCATGCAATTCTGGAAGCTTTCCTAGAACATTCTTGCGAGTAACTCAAACAGCGTAACACAGAGAATGTACAATAACCTGTATTTACAGCAGGCGTTTACGTAAGACAGGTGTTTCATAAATCAGCAGTAACCCAGTTGGACAGAGGAACGCCACAAAGGAGCCAGAGTCTAATATTCATAACAATAAAAAAGTACCTGGGCCATAGCATAAACCCCTTTAATGAAACAACAGCACCACCAGCCGTGCCAAATTCCTCACCACTCCCTGACCAAGTTTTAGAACTCACGTCCACATGAGTTGTTTTTTTTTTCAGACAGAGAGAAGCCTGGGAAAGCCAGAGCTGTGAAAAGACGGCAGGGTACAATACTGTGATCCAACATCAACAGACAGGAGGAGGAGGAGGATGGGGAGGGGGAGGGGGGGAGAGTATGAACCTGCAGCTCAATAAGATGACGCAGCTGCAGAAGGTTATTCAGATAAAAGCGGAAAACTACCTTGACCCTCCAAGTGTATTAGAACGAGCTGCAAACTGTCGGATAATCCTTCACTCCAGGAATAAAAAAAGGCTGTTCTGCCATCGTTCTGTTTTGTCTTTCCAGAGATACAAACAAGATACTGGCTTTATAACCTTTCCTTATCGATGACATGAAGCGACAGGGTGGATAATGACACACAAGACTAAACCATCCTCAAGGACAGCAGCATCCATCACCAAACAACCACTGTGTCAAGTTTAGCAAAGGGCAAATGATGACATCTGCTTCTGCGAAAACAAGCGCACAAACACTGCACACATACGCACAACACTGTCTGTGAACCGCGGTTCAGATTTAGCCAAGGTCAATGGGAATAGCGTGTGTGACTGCGCAGTGGGGTATATTTCAAGGGCATTTTGGCTCAGTTTGAGTGAAGTTTTGTCAAATGATTTAGCCTTATTTGCTCAAATCAAACTATTTTATGTGCAATTTCATTTTCGTTTTTGGTGCCAAACATCAGTACTTTTAATTTTGTTTAATTTACTTCAGTTTTTACTGATTTCTAAGATCACTTCCAGTAACTTATTAATATTCTTCTGGCAGTTCTTTAGTTCTACTTTCCCATTTTTGGACTAGTGTGTTAGTAGCCAAATTGACATTCTATTCTTTATATAATACATTTAGGCACCCTTCTTTATTTAGTGTTTTCAATTAATTTTTAACAATTTGTTTAGATTTTCTTACCAGCAACACATTGGCAAGGCACATGTAGAGAAAGGGTCAGGCTTCCTGTGTTAAGTCCAATTAGTCTTATCTATAATACTACACTGCATTTACAACAGCTACTATAACCATTAAAGACAGAGTTGTAGTTTATGTGTATCACAAAAATATTTAATCCCAGTAAAAGAACTGTATTCCCTGATTGTGAATTTTTTTTTTACATTGAATTTTATTTCTCCTAAAATTCAATGGGGAGATTCTTTTTTTTTGTTTTTTTTTTTTTTTAAACCAAGTCCAGGCTTAAAGTCAGGATTTCAGCTGAAGGTGGGCGGAGCTGTGTCAAGGCAACGCTGCACCAATGTCTGAGGCTATTATTGCAGTGACACCTGATTCCACAGCGTGACTGCTGAGACGACAGACGGACATTTCAGGCCTATCAGTCACTTCACTAGGCAGGCGGCAGGAAAAAAAGGGAGACTCTGGTGAAACACACACCCGAGCTCAGCCAATGGGTGAATGGGTCTACACCTGCAACTTAATAGAATTAACATTAACATTTAATTCAATTAAAATCTGGGACACCAACACTGAACGGGTGGAGCCAAAAATCAGCCTAAACCTTTAATTACTGCAAAACAAAGAAAATTGAGTTCAAATTAGTCTTGGCTTCTTAACTAAATGATTGTTTCTGTGGTGTGAGCACATCAGTCACGCAATTCAGAAAATAAAAATCCAAATGTAAGTTTTACACACAAAAAAAAATCCTCTCTGCAGACACAGATTAAAATAAAATCTAACTCTGTCCCTTTTCTTTTTGTGACACAGCGGATACACATTAAATCTAACTCTTTTTGTGACACAGCGGATACACATTTTCACATGGTGCTTTAGCACAATAGCAAGAATCTATGAATACTGCAAAAACAAAAAGAATTTATCAAAGCACGTCTGACCACTTCCGAGGTGAATATCCTGCCTGGTGCAGTTTAAAGTGAGAAGAAGAAAAACACGGTGAAACAATGAAGTACAAACGATACAGAGTAACCGACAAGCACAACAATAAACACAGCGTCTTCTGAAGACTGCTGGGAAACTGGCAAATGGTGGAAGTGCACATTCCAAGAGCATTTTCCACCGGAACAGCAGGACCTGAGATCTGAGAGGGTTGTCACTGTAGTGTCAACAAACCTTTATGACTAACGCGGCGTGCCCAGTGGGATGTGATCTCATTAGGAGTTCACCCAACACTCCACATGCCAACGTGCATACCAACAGAAGAAGGTAACACAACCCTTTTTCACGGATAGTTTGCTTCCAAAAGCCTAGCCAATAAAAATGAAGTTTGGTACAATGGGACCTTTTAAGCATTTTAATACTAATTGGACTAATTGAACTCTTTGCTGGATTGTTAGACTTAAGACTACAGAAGAGGATTTTAGGTTTTGCAGAAATCATCCCATCTTCAAATATGCCACTAATCATGATTGTAATGATGATAATTTTGACCTTATTGAACTGCTGGCTTGACTTTAAAGGGTCTGATTAAAATTCTCTCTCAGTGTCAGTCCCATCACGCCGGCTGTGTGCTAAGCTTTCCCTTGTGCTTTTCACGAGGATGTCTTTATTGCATTTTTCTCAGGTGTGACTCAAAGTTCTACAATGCAAGTGCCCACATGCCAATGTGGACTGATGGGTGTGTGATCGCCAGGAGTCAATCAAGATTCCTGCTATCAATGTATACGCACAGAAGGAAGTTAAAAGGGCCCTTAACCTGGAGGCGTGGGACCAGCAACAATAACAACGATCCGGTTAAAACAGGTTTCAGAGCTTATGATCTTGCGCCACAACTACACTTTGCCACAACCGCTCCAGAGAGCCCTAAGCAGATTACTGGGACAAGTAACAATGCTGTTAACCTGAAGGCCGGGGCACACATACACTGGTTCGTTTTGGCTGCAACTTTAGCGTATCAAAGCTGTCAAAAATGCAATTAAGTTTAAACACTGTAATCCTTACGCAGGAGCTCTTTACTTTTGACACCGTCTATTCTGAATGTCCATTTGTGTCCACACCTAACAGTCATCATTTTCTAAATGTTCATAACAGGAATGAATCATCATTTGTGGTGCACACATTGTGAATTAAGCACACAATGTTCAGGCCTGGCCCAAAGACTTGATGCGGTCTAAACCAGTCCTGAATAGAACAGAACACTTTATCACGGCGGGCTGTACGCACGCCATGATCCATTACATATAAACAATGCCTTTCCAGGTGTTTGTTGTCCTAAAGGAACACTGTGGCCTCCGTCAACGTCTGCATCCTTGTAAAGATGTGTGTGTATACTGGACCAACTGCTGAGACTAAACCCAACAACCTTTTAAGTCACCTGGCTGGACACAATCGCCTCTGCCAAGAAAATGTGCTCGTTGGGAAACGGACTGTCACAATCTAAAAGGTCTGTTCATTTTCCCAGGACCAGAGTCAAACACTGTCAGGAGACTGGAATGAAAGCGTTACTACATATTACTATTACAAAATACTCAAAAACACCCAATGCCATGTATACAGAAAAGGATCACACTGCCGTAAA